AATTTCCTTTCAACCAATTTACCAAAATTAAACTATTTAGAAATTAACTGCAAATAAAACTTGTTCACATTTTTTTCACCCACATTTTGTGGTCGTCTTTAAAAAATCTGCTACTGATAAATCTCATTGAAGTTTCAATGAACAAGGGTGGGTCGATCTGTATTTCTTTTACTGTTACGTTTATATCCCTTTCAATTTACTGGAACACAATGCGATGGGAGCAGTAGAAATAATAAATATGACCGTAATAACAATTTCAATAAATAAATATGATGGAGAAGGCAACTAAGCTGACGTTTATGGTTCAGGATGCAAGGTTCTTTTCGCCAGAATACTTTTATGTATGTATGTCTACTATCTACTTACATTAGTTAACTAATAATTATTATGCGGCAATACTTTAATAGTGAATATCGTTATTTGACGTCGTAAAATTCAACGTGAGAATTTATTTCACAGTTCAACACCTTCGAAACCTGTTGCTCTAAACTGAGGGCCTTCGGGTATATAGCACCGAATTAGCAGAATGAGGGTCTGATACCCAATTTTGAATATAGTATTGTACATCAAGATATAATTCAGCCAATTACTCGAGAGTAATTTTAATAATGCTGATTGCAGTCGAAATGCTCAGACATTTCAGAGATATGCAACTTGGTTTTCTGTAAACTCATCAATGAGAATTGATAATGTTTGAATTACTTCAGTACGTATGTATGAGACATTTCTCATGGTTCTTATTTCACAGAACTGACTATGAGCATACAGTCAACGAGTGTGAAGTATTTCTAAGCCTGCCATTGCATAAATTTTAAATTTTATTGAAATATGTGATATTAAAACGTCTAAATTGAATTTATGAATGTTTACCCATCATTTGTGTGGTGTGATCGAACGCAAATACGTACGAGGTACGAGTACATACGCAAGTGGAGGAGGAAGTGTGTTCCAGTTTATTCGAATTGATGAGTGATGAGAGAAACCTCCCATGAAGAACGCACACAGATGAGCTTAAGAAGGCATATACGTTGAAAAAATCTCATAACTAAAAGACAGAGACGACGGTTGCGTCTCCTTGTGTGCCGAGAGATTTTTTGCTAATGAGGGGGGGCGGGGCGAAGAGAGCAGCTGATTTTCATGTAAACAATGCAGGCAGTTGCATGTAAAAAGTTGCTTTGGGTTTTGAGAGTGACCGTTCCCACTCTCCAAACGGGGCATCGCGAACCAGAAAAGGAGAAAAATTTCGACTAAAACTTCTAATTTGCAGCTAATACAAAATGGATTGATTTCGTTTTGGTGGCAATAAATTCCCAAGTTTGTGCTTTACAATTGCCATGTTGCATAAATTCCATAATAAATCTCAGAGAAAAGTATTGAACTGAAACATGGACTCATATCATGTTTCAGTCCAATACTTTTCACCGAGATTTATTATGGAATTTATGCAACATGGCAATTGTAAAGCACAAACTTGGGAATTTATTGCCACCAAAACGAAATCAATCCATTTTGTATTAGCTGCAAATTAGAAGTCTTAGTGACAAAAATCATTTACATTACTGGTAAGTGGCGAGGAGAAAAAGTCAACTCGCTCACTAGGATGCCCAGACTGTTCCCTAACTCTAACTTTAATGCAATCATGCGATGAGTCGTTTAATAATAACTAATAACACGGCTGATAAAAAAACTCTCAACTTCAAGTGGACGATTTCTAGCTCAACATTTGTTGAACAGGCTAAAATGGTTCATAAAAATGTGGCATGCATTCTGACGTGTTCCTATTATTGCCTCTTCAACAAAGGTCTTGAGCACCAGTCGTGTCTCAATTGTTAAAAAATATCCTGGACATTCTGCTGAAGTATATGATCCATTATTTTTTCAAAAAACGGACCCTGCTGTAGATGAACATGTACAATTATACAGCTATCATCTACGTGTGAGTTTCAACTAGAAATGCTTTAAGTAAATGTGTGTAATTGGATTTTCTTCGGCTCATGTCATAGTTTACTTGAGAAGAAATGCTGCGCCATGTGAGGGCTCTTTTACGTAAACCAATAAGTTGAAGTTTTAGTTTCACTCAAAGCTAGAAAATTTTTCTTTAATTACATCACAGCAAGCCATCTGTAGTGATATTCCGGCCCACGGTTTAAATGACTCATACTGCATAATACCAATTAAGATCTGGATTGACGCTGCCTTTCTTTCGCCCAGGTTAAAGTTTTTGAGTTCACTATCGCAATAGCAATTAGTTGTGCTCACAACACCATTCATTCTTAGTTCAGTTTTGGCCGGAGCTTTCAAGTATTCTTTCAATTCCTAAATTATGAATCGATCTGAACAAAAGTTTTTATTTGGTGTGGTAATACCAATAAAATGCGATAATAAAGTGTCACAATTAACATTATACAACACTCAAATATGAATAAGCAATGGCGTGTATGTTTGTTGTCGATATGTTTACTACAGAAATATGTAGCCATTAAGATTCCAAGTTGGAATTTCAGCCCATTTTCGGTACAAGTTGCCTTCATATGAATATTTGGTGAAGTTAATCAGAACAAAAAATTGTGCGGCTCTTCAATCCTGCCTTGACTTTATTTTAATAACTTTGAGGATTTCGTGCATATAAACGGGGTCAATTGATGGAAATATACCAAAGCGAAAGTATGCATACGTACTGTACTAGTATATCTATATTTGCATGTCATATGTGCTAACAGCACAGTGTGCCAGGTTCAATAAGCTTTGGATTTCATAAAATCAATAAATATGAAGGTGCAATATAATCCAGTGCAGAACTGTCCAGTGAAACTCGTGGACTTTTAAGCATACGAGATGAGTTATCTGGGTCAGTTATTCTAAGCTGAAAAAATCAGTAAATTCTTCTGAAAACAAAAAGCCTTTTCCCCCTGAACGAAATAGGAAATGTGTGTATGAAAGGGGAGGACATGCAATATTAATGAATTAAATTTTGCAGTTTGATGAATTGAATGGGAATCACTAGCCTCAGGATTGTTTGCATTCGTTCGTTTGAGGTGCAACCACTTCCGCTAGAAACCGCATTCCAGTCATGTTTGAATTAAACTTGCAATTCAATTTAGTTCCAGATGAGGTATTATTGACAAGCTCGACATGCCCACATACATTTCTGCATGCAGATAGCGACATAGCTCTCAGATTGCCTTGCATGTACAATTTCACCTAGAATGAATAGATGTTGCCGGAATGTTCCATTTCCATTTGTCCATTTTGAACTCTGAGCATTTCACTTCTTGAGAAGGGTAGTAGGCGTTTGGATTCGAAAACTCACGACTCTGCAATTCTTCTACATGACGACAGAAGTTTGAAGGAAGGAGAATGTCAATAACCCACTCTCCTTGGCACTCACGGGCTAAAAATGATGAAGCATTTATATACATCAAAGGGTTTGGCAGACGAGTTGGAAGTATCCAACTCATGGAATATGCTTGGCAATGCATGCATTTGCATATTATCATAATTGGCAATCAAATCAAATCCACATTACACGATTCCTATCTCCAGAGTTAAATATTGCTCTTCTTCTCTTTCAGTCTACACCTCTACTAAATATGCAGATTTAGAAAAGTGGAACTCGTATCTACTCAGAAAGTTGAAACAACTGATTTTCGCCAACAAACTACATGCATGCAATTTCTTTGTTTTGCTATTTAGCTAAAGTTTGCCTGGCTCAATCCAAGTACGTTCGCTAAAATAGTATAACAAATTCCAGTAACAGATAAAATGAAGTTGCAGAAGCGAAGTGCTGAAAATTTGCATTGAATATTCTACGTTTTCAATATGTTAATTTTCGTCAGAACGCGAAAATTTGACATTTTTGGCGATTGATTCGTATGAAAGTTCGACTACTGAAAGACAGACGAACAGACGGACAAATCGATCGCAATAAGCAGCCTCAGTTTCTTCCGCTGCTTAATAATTATTTCGATGCGCGTCAATCATGTCAACAGCAGTCAATCGCCCAAGCCTCATTAACAGTAACTCCATATACGTACACACGTAATGCAAAATGTGCGAGGAGACCCATGGGACTGAAATTCTGCTTCTTTTGAACAAAAGTGTCGTATTGTGCACATGACATGACATGATGAGCGATGAACAAAAACAGTGCTGAAGAAAAAACTCAACAGTGATCCGTAGCTGGCTATTTATAGGGCGTTTGGCTCGCGGAATGGCAAGAGTAGATACAACGATACACATGTATGCAAAAACGTAGATATAATGCAAATCAAGGAGGGTGACGAGATAAATTGGTTTAGTGACCTGTTGATTTTGGTGATACGAAATGATCATGAGCTCAAAGCATGAATAAAGAGCAATTTTTAGGATCAAAGGTTGCACAGTCATTGCTTTCCTAGTATGCGCAACGACAAAAATAAACATGAACTGAAAAGCACATATGACATACACAACGTGTTTTACAATTTGTGTTCACGAGGATTTTTGACTTGTGTGTACATTTTCGAAATTTTACATAAGAGATGCAACGTAGATGAGTATACGAAGAAACATCGAGTGCCAGGTTTGACTGCTTGGGAATAATCACGAGAAGACGCAGCATGTGTAGTTTGTTTGAATCAGGACCCGACAACAACTAAACTGCTGAACCTATTTGTTCATGGTGACTTGATGAGCCATTTGGCAATGACAAGAAATATTTTGTTTCATTTTTTACGCTTACGTATTTTCACGAATGCGACATTTACAAATTCTTGTGAAACTGAGATCAACGACAATTTATGTTTATGTCAGTGTCAAAAGTTTATCGTGGTTGATGCGCTAAATGTTACATCTAATCGTAAGTAAAATTGTTTATGTATGCCTTTCTTGTGCGTCGGGGTTATGGGTTTACGACGAATTTGCGTATTAACTTCAATCATATGTACATATGTACACACCGTACCTACTGTTCCAATAAATAATTAGGCAGGCACCACCAATACAAATAGGTGGTCCAGACCAAGAAGAAAACATTTCGTAGGCTGGCGACAGGAAATATATTTAGAAGGAACGATAACGGGGCCAACATTTTGCGTCAGATTTGTTGCGAAGCAAAGTTGGCTGAGATAAGTCAAAGTGAGCTAAATGGCGTTTCAGTGAGCAGACAGTTTGGCAGCTTTGAACGACATCCCAAGATAAACTTATTTTCGGGTTTTGTGAACCAGGCAGGGAGGCACGTGAACTCGAATGCTATACAATTCTACGTTTTGATTCTTCCATGACGTTACACGGTATGATACAGCCTCGTCCTTATTCTGAACAACACTATTAAAGTGCTCTGATCAAATAATAACAGTAGCATGATTGACAATAGTGCACGAACTCTGAAAAACTTTTCAGCAAAATCACTTGCTTTCTCTCCTGGAAACTAGGTCACCCTTTGAAGAGTTTAAACACATACATACACAGTTCGTACAGACAACAAACGAATTTCGTTATGTGCTTGATGTTCTGAGCACTGGAGAAAGTATTCTGTAATAAAAGTGAAAGATGAAAGTCTCTTTGACTCTCTAATAACCGAAGCTTTGTTGCAGAAACTTTATATCAGAAACTAAAAACAGTCTCATATTCCAGATTTAAAACATGTAGAAAATGCACAACATACAGAAATTTATGTATTTTCAAACGTGTACGCCATGTCATAATTGTGTTTGAATTATTTCCATTTCCCTACATTATGTGGACTGGAATGCTATTTCGAGTTCAAACTTTCATAAATAATTCGTCATGTTTTCTCTCTTTCTTTCGTAAACAACCGACATAAACAAGGCATATTATTGTCAGATAGTATATCTGCCTTGTACAAAACACGTATGTATGTATGTCGTCCGTTACACAACCTAAATAAAGCCTGGACTGTATTATATATACATATATACGGATTTATACATATAGATGATTCAATCTTGAGGAAGTAAATATTTGGAAGCTAAAAAGGTACATAAAATGGTTCGGTTCGGAATGTATTGAACGCAATTGGCTGAAAATTCTTGTTTTGAACGAAAGATTCCTTCGAACATGGATCAATTCAAACTAAATACGTTTTACACTGCTCAATTTTTGTTGTGGTTCTTTCCATGCAGTTCCAGCCAGACCCCAATTATCCATAGAAAGAAAAAGAATGGGTGACTGAAATTTTAAAAGGAAGGTTGATGCGATGCGATGTCTCTACGTTCGACCTTTCATGCTGCACACAGAAAACGAATGGATTCGACTTTTCAAAAATAAAAAGAACGTACACAAGACTGGCCTTGGCTTGATCTTGGACTCTTGCATGATGAATGTGTATACGGTTGTAACTCACACGCGTAACAAGAGGGGCTCGGAAACTTGGATGGGAAATGTAACACGTCAACAATACAAAAGAAGTGAGAAACGAAGATCTAGTTCACTTGGAGAGAAACAAACAGGCCACCCGGACCGGGTGAATGTCGGCAAACGATATATACAAGAAAAGGTGCAAAACAAAATTAAAGGTAAGGAAGCTTTTCTCAGAGGGTACTGCATACTTTGGATGAAAATATTCCATAACGGATCACTTTTCACGAAATCGAAAACCCTACCGGAATACAAGTATTTTTAACGCAATGCTAACAATGTTTTACAATATCTGTATTGCGTTAACTGCAGGATTCACAAATGGACAAACTCTATAGAAAAATACATAACTTACCATAAAATAATATATATTTTGTACATTTTGTATGTATGGTATACAATTCTCCAATGTGATTTAATGAAAATTAAATATATTCACCATTAATTTTTCAGTTTAATAAAAAATACTTTGTGGGTCAGATCTCAACTTCATTAAAAACTGTAACAGTCTGAAGCCTAAGTCATTTCTTAAATGTTCTATGATTATTATGATTAATGATGAAAAAATCGGGTGCATTTTTACAACGAACGGTTTCCATTTTTTCATGCTGCATACTCTAATTACCAAATTGAAGCCAATCAATCAAAGATATTTTAAGAAACTTTCAAATTGTTGTTGTAATACATTTAAGAAATGTTTTTATTACCGTGATGTTAATTTTCATAATAGCTTGGACAAAATTTGATAAATTCTTGTGACCGGTTTAAAAAACATGGACTGCGACTGGTGCGGTTAAAAATTTAACTTAAAATCTGAACGCATATGTAGCAATCTGTGCACCCTCCATTGTTAGAAATGTATGTAACCATTACTATCCACTCATATGCGAACGATTAGTGGGTACTTCTTTAAAATAATATTCAAGTTCAGTCATAAATAAAGTGCATGCTAAATGAAATCATCGAGGCAACTATTTGATAAAATGATCTCAATATTTCGTTTCTTGATACGTCTGCCGTTATAGATTTGAGACGCATAAAAACGATCTGGGCGTTGTCTTTTCTTAAACTGAACCTTTAGTGAGCTAAATTGTAATGGAGTGTACATAATTATTTGTTTCAATACTTCTCTTCTGAGAACTGACGTCTGGGCGATGAACCCAGTTGTTTCACGCTGAGGATTTATATTTGCACCTCATAAATAGGTTTAGATCTCACGTATAATTTTCAATCAACTTGTTTGCAAATTAATCGTGTTGATTGGTGTTTCGGTCTTTTAAATAATGAATCATATTTAAGTCATTGTTGTATTGATTGATGTACGGAGCCGAGTCTTTATTATTGCACAATAGGCACATGTCCGTTCAGAAAACTTGATTGTTGGACTTTGCATTTTTACCGAAGCCGAAATTAGCTCGATGTGCTTGTTACTCGTTCAAGGAAGAATGTCGATGTGTATATGATGTTTCGAAAATATGCCTGTTGCAATTAATATTAGTAGTTACTTATTGGTGACCTGTGCAGAACCCTGAGCAATTTTGAAATCATGTAAATCAGAACATGCATTAAACATAAAATAAAATAAGATCTAGAAATAAGATTCATCTTGCATATAGCAACGTCGTTCAGTGTCAATCTCAGGATCAATACAATCTCAAAAGTAATGTATGAAATCAAATCAGAAGCGAATGTTAGGTAATGGATACACCAAAGCAGCCAACAGTTTAGTTGGTGAACGCTGAGCGCCACCAAGAAAGGCTTTTGTGCGTTGAGGGCGAAAGTTGTAAAGAACGCTGTTGGAGTTCTCTTGTGTTGCACTTTGAAAAGGACAACAACTTGACAGACCGGCTCACCAGCAGTTGTTTATTTACGTTTTCAACAATCAGTGTCGTGTAAGTCAACAATCCTTTGTCACCACTATCATCACATCGAATAGTGCCAAGTCACAATTTGCGACGAAATTTTTTCTGCGTTACAAATATATTTTTTACAGGGACAGGAAGAAACGTGGAGATTTTTGTTGAATCTGGAGTTTTATTCTACACTATTTTGCAGGAACAATGAGACATTAGCGTTGGATTTCGTACAATTAACTGGTAAATATGGTTATGTACGTTGCTATCTCTTCGACCTCTGTCACATTCAAGTTGGTTACCTAACTTTCTTTGCATGAATGGCATGCAAATTGATAAGTTTGAACATTCCATTGCCTATCTTATTTATTCTGTCACACAAAATACAAATTCTCAAATTCGGCTCTGCGTATATGTATGTAAAAAAATCTTTAACGGGAGAACAGTTATAGCGTCACGTCAGAGTCAGTGACGCGGTTTACTTGGCAGAAAAACTGGTTTATGTGTATGTATGCTAGTTCACAAAATGTAGTTGGTTATCTTAGGATCAGTAACCCATAAGCAGTGACTTTTTAAATCGATATCCAATTTAATTTGTTCCACAAATTGAGGTATTTACTTGTGCAACATTGGAATTTTAGCTGAATTTACCCACCAAGTCAAAAATAGGCATCGTTTTCTTTGGTCCTATTAAATAACTCATAACTCTGACACGAGATACCTCACATATAAATGCATAATATGGAATGCATATTATGCAATATTACGACCCTTATGTTTGACCTTTGTTTCACTTACCATTGTGATTAGTAATTAATTAAATATTTTTCCAACCCATTAGAATCTTATCTGACTCTCTGTTATTCGTGGAAATGTTCAGAATTGATTAGTTTATTGATTTTATCGGGTACATGGATATTAAATATTATATTATCTTGTACTGCATAGACATTGATAGGCATTCAGCACTATACATACATACATACATAACTTAGTAAACGCCCACAAAAACTTAATCATATCAACTTATGTATATACGTACATATTTATCAATTTGACAGATTGAAAAGTGTTCACTTTCTCTTCAACAACGGCAGCTGGAATAAGCCCCTCAAACTCCTCAGATCCATCAGGTCGAGTGTCTTCCATTTTGAATTTACACGAATATCGACAAGGACGATCACCACCACAGCGATAAAAATGTCTCAACTTCGGTCAGCAATTCTTATTATTTCATAATCATTTAGAAAATACTTCACTGACATCCCCTTGTTTTTTTTGTATTTTAATTTTTAATTTGATTTTGAAATTAGGTCTGCCTATTACTCACTTGGGGAGCACACGCTGAGTGTGCCTGCAGCATTGTTTGCCCTGAATCGCCAACGTTTGGTGGAGCGTTTGCAAAACAATCCCAAAATCAACCGAAATTCAGTTGTGATCCTTCAGGGAGGCAGCGACGAATCTCGTTACTGCTCTGATGTCGGACCTGTGTTTCGTCAGGAGTCTTATTTTCACTGGAGTTTCGGCGTCTTAGAACCTGACTGCTTCGGTAGGTCGACGTTGTCAAGTTTGATAGATCGTGTATTTTATATTGAAATATTTGACATAAAATATGTATTGTTGATGCATTTTTATGGCAGGATGCATTGGAGTTGGGGATGGACGCTCAATTCTTTTTGTACCACGACTTCCAGACGAGTACGCTGTGTGGATGGGGAAAATTCCAACCCTTGATGATTACAAGCAGCGATATGACGTCGACAGCGTGTTTTATGTAGACCAGGTATTTTATCATGAATAAATAGGTGATCATTATTGCCAACTTTTAAATATCTATTTCGTCTCGATCTCATTTAATTTTTCAAGGTTGCTGAACAATTAAAGAACCTTAAACCACATTCTTTACTGACATTGGTGAGACAATTATTTCTTCGGCTCATCGTGCTTACAATTGTTTGTTCACAAGCGCAGGTATACATAGTAAAATACATCACATTTGCATATGTTTTGTTGGTGGTTTGCAGAATGGGACCAACAGCGACAGTGGAAAAACTTGTCGCGAAGCGGTATTCGATGGCATTAGCGAGTAAGTAATTTTAGATATACATCCTTATATATGTACTTGTGCGGGTAATTATAGAGTTGCTTTATATTTATTATGATTTGAAGGTTCAAAGTTGAGAGTGGGTTGTTGCATGCTGAGATTGCTGAATGGTAAGCAAATCACCGTATCCTGCTTGAAAATTACAACTTCAAAGATTGATGATTTGTTTGAATGGAATGCAATCAGTCGTGTTATTAAGACCGAAATGGAAATGCAAGTTTTGCGGTATGTCTGTGACATTTCTGCAAAGGCTCACGTGGAGGTATGGTATTAATTGTATTTGAATTAATGTTTGTAGTGCGGCATCTCAAATAAATGTGTGTTACATATATACGTACGTATAATCAAAACAGGTAATGAAGAAAATTCGTTCTGGAATGAAAGAATATCAGTGTGAGGCCATCTTCACAAATTACTGCTATTACAATGGAGGTTGTCGACACAGTTCCTACACTTGCATCTGCGGCAGTGGGAACAATGGTTCTGTCCTCCATTATGGGCACGCTGGGGCTCCAAATGATAAGACAATCAATGATGGCGACATGTGGTATGTTATTCCGACTGTATTTCTCTCTCTCTCTATCTTACCCGCTGGGATCAGCAAGGATGAACTGATCTGAACACTTTGTTGTTCCTACTTTCTCTTTTACACAGCCTCTTCGACATGGGTGGAGAATATTACTGCTACACATCTGACATCACATGTTCTTTCCCAAGTAATGGAAAGTTCACGAGGGAACAAAAAATTGTGTATAATGCCGTTCTTGAAGCAAATCAGGCTGTTTTTAAGGCCATAAAACCAGGTATGTACATATGCACATATTTATGTTGCATGTGTGTGTTTATCATGTTGCACCTTTCTTTCTACATATACATAATTCGTAACCTGAGGTCTCTGTTGACCTGACTTAATCTGTTTTTATGGTCTTAAAAACTTTAATTGCGTTCAGGTGTTTGCTGGGTGGATATGCACGTGCTGGCCAACCGAGTTATGCTGACGTACCTCCGAGACAATGGCATTTTGCAAGGGGACATTGATGCAATGATGAAAGTGAGTTTAATTTGTAGTTCTGCTTGGCGATGAGGGTGGGGGAGACTTGGGGAGAGAAAGTCGGGCGGAATATATGTGTGCAGTCAGAGATTAAAATTGATCCCATGTCTGTAAACCCTATCAGGCTAATCTGGCAGCAACATTTCAACCCCACGGACTGGGTCATTTTATGGGGTGCGATGTCCACGATGTGGGTGGATATTTGGAAGGATGTCCTGAACGACCAAAGATTGCGGTAAGGAGAAAAATACTTTGTAGTTTTTTATTGACAATCCGAACCGGTAAAAAACTTCCAAAAAGTATAACAAACAACTATTAATTCATGAACACAGTATATTGATTATCGAAAGTGTGAGTCAACCACTTTCAGTTCAGGCTTAGATAATTGACGCCGCAGGTTGATTGGAAATTCAAAGTCTCCATCCTTCCAGAGTGGATCCTCTGTTGCTGATCCGAAGGAGAAAGGCATAATACCTCTCTCTCCACTTTCTTGAGCAATTCTCTTGACATGGTCAGGTAGCCGTCTCCACGCTGCCCACTCCGTTCTGATATTTAGTGGAACGATACGAACTATTCCATGCGGTTTCTTCCGATTCACGACACCTGTTTCATACTGTACAGAAATTGTTATACATAAACAAGAGTTCGATTATACATGCATTGTACTATAGATAATGTATGACAGATTACCTGAAGAAAAGCTTCCTTCTCCTCTGCATCTTCACGAGAGGTGCACCGTGTTCGAGCAACTTGAAGTGCTATTTTCTCTCCAGACTTCAATTCCTTCAAAATGGTGTCAAAATCTGGGTTGACATAATGCGCCCTATTTATTCCACCATCACTGGCTTCCACGCCTTTCCCGTGATAAGCCTCCAACTGAGTCTGTTCTTCCGAGCCCAACAGCTTTTCCAATATTTCTCTCGGTCGAGAAACCCCACCCAAGTCTGCCTTCTTGAAGAGGAGGACAGAGTATACATTAAAACTTGAAGGAGAAAGCAGTCGCAATTCTGCCATCAACTGGCCAAAGAGAGTGTCGACTTCCGTCATAATGTCAGCTTCAGTTGTGGGTCGAGGTCTGGTCGAAATATTCAACGGGGAGAAAGTTGAGGTCACGACATTATTGTCACAGAGAACAGGGGAAAATTCAACTTTTGTGAGTGACGCTTCAAGTGGAACTATGTCGTCACCTCGAACGGCATGCTCAATCATATCCTTAATCTTTGTTGGGGGGTTGAACGCCAAGTTGGACAGTTCCCTACGGGTGTTAAGGAACCGCATCTTTGTTTCAGAGTATTGTTGATAGTAATATCCAAAATTCTGTAGAAAAAAAAACATTTCCTCAAATCATGGCAAGTGGCTATTAATGTTAATGCAGATACACATTAATTTACTTACTATTTCCAAGGCCTCTAATGCTCGGGCGTCCTTGCCAGCATCTGGTCCTTCAAACAGGGTGTCCCCACCGAAGACGACCTCCAATCCCTCCATATGGCCTCTGCCTAGTGCAGACAGGGGTGGGGATTGTTTATGCCAATTATTTATATCCGAAAATCTTCCATCCTCTGATTTCATCCCCGAATATCGTGCCGTCTGTTCCGGATGTTGAAGAATAAATTCTCTGTAGTCAGTCCCGCGACGAAACAGAGGCCCAAGAACAAATGCTCTGTATACATAACTGGCTACTTCCCTCTGACTAAACAATTCTACCCATTGAAGTTTTTTCTCTATAATTTCCGAGTAGTTTGGGAACGAAGGATCGAGGCAGTCTTCATTTCCTATTGCAGTCTTATTGTGATTGAGGGGATGAACCCGTTTCATTTGATTCGCCGTCCTATTCATTCAACAGAGGTTAATGGTAATGAAATATAAGAGTTCGTGCATTTGAGGGAATTAGGAATTACATTGTTAAAATATCCAAAACCGAGTGATACCTCTCAACATGGCTGCGGAGGCTCTGATAATGTATGAAAAATTCACCACAATCTGTACACCAATGACGGGGGTCATCCTTGAATCTACGAATTCATTGTTGTGTAGAATTTGTAAAAATAACACTGAATATACAAGGTTATTAATTTACATACTTGATGTGTAGTTGATCTATTGTGGCACCGCAAGATTTTTGATGAGTTGTTCTGTTGATCACTTGTACAAAGAAATCTCCACATGTCTGACAGAAGTGTGATTCATCATCCTTATACCTACAACATACTTACATTGGAATATGTGTCATTAATAGCATTATAAACAAATTAATGCTTACTTAAGTTTGACCTCTTCTGCAGTTAAAATGCAAATATCCTCATGACTTGATTTCATACTCGTACTGGCAAAAACCTCTCCACATTTCGAACAAACGTGTCGAGGATCCCCTGCAAATCTGAAGTTGAATGAATTATATATATATATATATGTATAATTCATTTCCTCACATATTATTTATGTTCATAACTTATATATAAATTACTTTTTAATTACGGCATCCTTTTTTTCTTCCGGCGTGATCCCACAATAAAGAGCATGTCTTGTTGCGCCACATTTGTCAACAAAATGCTTGCCACATTTTTTTGGACAATATGACCGACCCCTAACATGAATTATTAAGCGTTTATTTCACATACATTTAATCAATAATATTTGAAAACATGGTTTAAAATAAAATACGTACTCGAGATGATGATTTGAACTATCAGATAATCCGGTGCCGTCGTCATCATCGTTCAACTTTCTCTTCAAACCGGTGATCCTTGATGAAAAACATGATTAGTTTTGCATGTACATATACAACTATAATATAATGGCAGGAACCATACCTAGTATTATCAGCACCATCGTTAACTTCCGGGGAAGGAGGTGTCGGTGGAGGCGACAGAATTTGGTATGTGATGGGGGTAGTGCTTGTCGCACATGCCGTGACGACACGATTCCCTGCTGTCGGGGATGGAAGAGGAGTCAGATTTTGAGGCACCGGAACACTTGGCCTCAAAAACCGTGTCAACGGGGTTGAAATATTTGTCCGGCGTAAGGCAGGATTATGACGGCACTTGATTTGGTGTACACCCAACGCAGCAGCTGATGCGAATGTCGACTTGCAGGGAGCCCAGCATCTGTACGGTCTGAGAGACCTAAATGACAACATATACAAATTTAATAATAAAATTAAATTCATCAACTACAACTAGTTTAAAACAACACTAGAATGGAATTGTGCAAAATGATTCTAAGAAAACTTACCCTTTTCCTTCACCGCCTGCCATTAGTCACAAATAATTATTTAAAAACTACCATCAGCAAATAACTGTTGAGATGAAAAGTAAACACGGGCAGCAATAAATGTCGCGTGGAGAAGTAACACCTGAAGCACAGAACGAGTGGTGTGGTAGAACAGGATAAAACAAGATAAATAAATAAATCCCATGCACTCCAAACTCGGCTTCCTTCCAACGCAGCAAAGACAATCCGACCTCAATTCTAATTAGCACACTTAAGGGTGAATATTCGAATTAGCAGCATTACACAAAATTTGAGATTAGATTGGACTTTCTGTAATTTAATGTAATAATAATCTACTACTTGTAATATGTTTCATAACCCTCATATTTATTTTATACTAGTCCATTGTATGTGTTAGACTTCTCTTCTTTACTGTCAATCTACGTCACATGTTATTGTAATTTAAATATGTACACCAGTGTGGAATCCAACTTGTAAATATTTATCAAATATGTTGTAAAATAAAACAAAATGTAATAATTTAATTTTATAATTGAATTAAAATCTAGGGCTTAAAATCCCTACGAACGGCAAGAGTACTGGAGCAAGGAATGGTCCTTACGATCGAGCCCGGCTGTTATTTTATTGATCACGTAAGTATTGTTTTGGCACTTGCGATATTATCATGCAGAAATTTGTTGGAGGTCGAGAGGATTACAAAGATTCCGTGAGCCCTTTCTACTTTATCATTGGCTTAGATAATATCCCATGTCTTAAAGGTTTATTGTGTGCAGTTAGTTTGTTCCCAACAATATCCAAGTACTGCTTCCTAGCAGAGCATTTGAGGCTACGACTGAAGAAAGCATGTGTGTTTTATCGATTTCTTTCATATACTTTACTGAGACAAAGGCAGAAACGTTAAGATCAATGTAGAAGCAGTAAGAAAGTGATGAAATTGAGAGCCTGGTGGACCACGTAAGGCTTTTACCTTTTAGTTTCATTGCCTTTCTTCATGGTCGTTACGTGATGCTATGAGAATGTCGAGTTGCTTGCTCTCAGAAAATGCAGAATATAATAATGGTGTGCATATGTATTATGTGTGTGGAACTGTATGAGTACTGAGTCGCCAAAACTGTGGTGGATATCGTCTCAGGATTATTATTTTGGTCTTTATTACTGCGATCTTGTCTCGAGTGTTTTTCCCTGCCACTAAGAATTCTATTCAATTTCGCACCAGAATTGAGGTCACAATATCGTGATAAAAATTAAGCATCAAATATATTGACCTATACATATTTAGCAGTTACAAAATAATAATCGTATTACAAAACTTCATTTGACTAAATCAAAAATTATGTAATGCTCTTATACGTATCAAAATAACATGGTTGTTGCATGGTTTTTGTTTTGTGAATAATTTTGATAATTTTTTCCAGTTGCTTGACAAGGCGTTGGCGGACCCGACGCTGTCAAAGTTCTTGAATTCAGATGTCATCCAAAAATTCCGTGGAACAGGTGGAGTCAGGTATTTGCACAGTTTGTCTATTCGAACGAGTTAAAAGCTACAAGTTCAGACTATATCCACCGCGGGTTTTCAATATCCTTGTTTTATCGATCAAGTACAAAAGTTGTAGAGATTTATGAAATAGCTCAGAAGTCCTTTTTTCTTAAAAAAAATCGTCAGTTATATCCAAAACAGGTCATCTTGTACTTGACTATACGTATCTCCAGCGAGGACGATGACACCTCCAAAGAACATCTTGTTTACCCATGTCTTTTTTTCATTTCCGTTTGAAACTCAAACTTTCGTTTGATCTTTTCATCCTGTGTTGCTCAAGTAGTTTCTGCTTGATTAATTACTTGATGGATTCGAAAGTCATTTTAAAAGTACGATTCGCTTTTATCTGTAGTATATATACAAATTTTTCAACACATTTTCAACCCACGAGTAAATATTTGTATTCATGGACTAGTGATACGTATTTTTCAATTTCTCACATCCATACACAAACGTACTGAATCTTAATCGCCCGGTGAAAGTGCTTCCTTCACTAGGAGCAGTGAGGGAGGACTGGTGACGACGCTGGTTGTGGGTGGTGGTGGGATATAGTGGAAGGGACAGAGAAAGAAATAGGAAAAAATCGTTGAGTGAAGGAGTAACCTATTATTATCAAATTCTCAGGATTGAAGATGACATACATGTGACGGAGAATGGAGCGGAACTGCTTTCGAGAGTGCCAAGATCGTAAGTGGTTGGTTATTTCTGACATACTCATAAATGTGGCACAACATAAAAGCAGGAAGTGGGAAAATTGTTGGACGTCCCACTCCATTGAGGAAATTGCCCAAGAACAGTTACGGATTTATATGTGAAAACTTGTTTAGCCCGAGTCAGGTTATATCATTTTACGTTTTTGCTGGAAATTTCACCAATTGTATGCATTAATAAAACCCACAATACCATTTAGCAAGAGTTAGGCTGTTAATAATCGAGGTGGGTATCACCAAATGCTACAATATATTTTTTTTTCGGCAGGTATTGCTCATCTTCGAACTTGATTCATATTAGCACATTGTATTTGTGGTGCAAAATTTCAAGTCGATTGGATAAGTTTTACGAGCATAATCGATAGACGGACAGACAAAGAGACAACCTTGACGGGTACATAAGGCCTGACTCAGGCTAAAAATTCTTGAAATTGGTTCATAAATTTAATGTTTTCATATTCCTGCACCTTTAGTGCAAAATTTGAGATTGTCCTAGTGGGTCCCACCGAATAATAATTTGGTCGTTATAAAATTTTATTCTCAGTCAGTCTATTACATAAATATGACCATTGTCGCTAATATTTACCTGTTTTTCGCCCTTTTGAGTGGGTGTGGCGGACGAATATGGGGCCACAGAGTCAAACCTATTGGGGTTTTAGTACTTCTGGTGCACTCATCGGTGGGTGACAGCCGACAGGTTATGAGTCCTTCCTCCTAAGGCGAAAGTCGATAAGATAAGTTTCAGCGAGTCATCCCAAACCGGAAACTTAGACAAACACGACGGGTACATAAGCCCTGACTCGGGATAAAAAAGCAAAATTCCTTTTTTATTTATTTAATGCATTTTATTTAATGACGCCGACTTCATATATCTAGTTAAATAAGTACACATATTTGAGTACTACTGTTTATTTTCTCCATTTCCTTTTGATTTTAAATTGTGCACTTGGTTTTCGACAAAGCTATAGAAGTGCCAATGTTGACTTATTGTTTATTTTTGTACTGCAGAGTCGAAGAAATTGAAGCTGTGATGGCGGAAGGGCAGAAGCAGGAAGTGATTGTGCCCCAACTCTGTAAATCCGTCGGAAAACAATGAAAAAGAGTGATGATACAAATATTGGCTGACGAAGAGATATTTTTGCCCACATGTTTATCAAATATTAAGCTTAAATAAAGAGAGTATTATATTTGTATCGTTCGCGGAAGGAACATTGACACCATCCTTACATTGGCATTTAAAAATTGAATAAATCGATTTTTTGCCTTGAGCTATTTGTAAGTTCATGGCCAGCTTCTGATCGTTTAATAAGTCTTGTCTTTTGTCGTGTTAGGGGCAGCATTGGAAATAAACTCGTCAACCAGGTGCTCATTCTTAATAATGATATCCATGAATCCCGTTAACAAGGACGACGTGAGACGGCAAGGTCTCTCTCTCTCCATCTGGCTTTGCATATCGTTCATCCATATCGTTCAATTTCAGAAACAGATTCAGGATGATTTCAGCTATTCGACGAGCACACTACTTCGATCGAGTGCATGTACAATCAATGTGGCGGCGGAGGAACATCCTTGGCTGGCTCAACAAACATCATCATACTTGGAATAAGAATTTTAAAGCTGTCACCAAAATTGGAGTGAACAACCCATTGCCGAGCGAGATTGGAGACGTGATTGAAGGGTTTCCCATGAAATTAGTTGATGTTGATCCCTGACACGACTTCTCACATGACGCAATCATGAATTTTTAAAGAGAATAAGCCTCCACTACTGGGTGCCCTATCGAGTGGGAACTCCTTGTGAAATCTTCAGGTACCACACAACTCGTCTTTGACAATTTAATAGCTAATGGACGTTATTTATTTAATGTTATCGGCTTATGATGTGCAGTACAAGCAACTTTACTGCCTTTGTGAGTACTTAAATGTCGACAGTCATCATCACAGTTCATTTCAGCCGTGGTGAAAGTTCCGCTGCATGGCGTGGATGAATTCTGGTTAATAAGAGTCTAATTTGAAAGCTATTCATCCGGTAGTCAGCAGTTTGCTTATCACAGCAATGAATGCATGGTGTAATAAATTCAATAAAATAAATATGAACTAAACCCCTCTGGCTGAGCTATGAAAATAACTCTTGAAAGTAAATATCGCACTAATTAATTAATATTTCAAGTCATGAGCATTCAGAGATATTTCGCTTTCAAAATTACACATCCAATAATTCTAACGTATGAAGTCATTGAATCGTTCAGAGATGTAATCCGAGTGGTGAATGCATACATGGATTTCTATACAAGAAGTTCAATTTGACATAGTTCAAGTAATCCACGAGTATGCATGCGACGAGTTCTTCTCAAAAACTGATACTAACCACTGACGCAAGCCAAACTACACATATGCGCCACATTATGTATGACATTCATACGAGTTACATACACACATCCGCAATGAGACGTACACATTTCAAAGGATGACTCAAAAATGAAATCATACATAAACAGAAACTGTGTCTCATGCTCGGTTGGTCCATGTCCTGCTGATACATCATTACACATCGATCGTATGTACCACTATGATTTCCCATTAACTCTGCTAATATTTCCTTCCTTATGACAAATATCAAATTGTACGGAGGAAATGCATAGTACACACATTCCTCACATATTACACGAGGAAGAATGTACAATGACAACAATGACAACAAGAATGTACAACTGACGAATGACATTCGTCAGTTGGATACGTTGTTACTAAATACTACATGAGCCATATACGAGCTGGGCTTAAAATGCATTGCACAATAATATGTTATGTTGCGGTTTTTATCATCGTAGCCCACTGCTCATTCATATCTGAGATGAACCACTTTTTGCTCATTGTTGCTGAAAGTCTTAGCTCATCACTCTGGCCAAAAAGTCTTAACAATGGGAACACACATTGTTACAACTGGACCACAGTTTGCCAATTTGAGAAGCAGAAATGCACGTATTTAGTTCGAAACCTGGCCCAACTACATAAACATGTACTGTAATCTCATGCAGACTGCTTTTCGACCAGCGCAAGTGAGAAGCATATCCCACACGTGTAGTCGAGTCGAGAGCAGAGTTGGGAGAAAATCTACTTCAATTCGGTAGTTCAATTCAGTTGCACTCTGCCTCTCGTGCCGTGCGTGAGTGACTTTGTTGGCTTTCACCACTTACGTCCTCGAGAAAAAGAGACATTTTGGCCAACGTAAAGTTCAACTTTTCGAAGCCTGGAATATTAAAAATTTACGGAATCCTAGTTTGTGTCAAAAGGAAACGAAATTCGCAAAATATACAAATCGGTGAAAGTTTCAACTTTCCCCGATTGATAGCAACTCCTCCTTGGTATGATGACGATCCAGATACATAACATGATTTGGTGCAAAGTTTTTTTGTAAAGTGGGACGTAGTTAAAAATATCGAATTTATGAGAAACTGTCGACAACCATCGTCAGTGAACCTTGAGATATCAACCACCTGCCCACACAGCACTGCATAAGTTGGTCGGGCGGAATTACACAATCTGAGAAAAAGTGAAATAACAATGATCACATGCTGATGATAGATATTGGGCCTTTGTAACGAGCAAAGGCAGCGGCGGTGCTGCTTGCCGTGTGTGGCCGTGTAGAAAAACAAAGTGAGGATAAGAAATTAATCAAGCACAACGATATAATCGTTAATCCGGTTGGAGCTGCTGTGCTACCTCGCAAAGTTCATTATAAAGTTGTTCTCATCTCGCGAAGGTGATACAAAGTGCGAAAAGTTGCAAGTTCATGTGGGGCTCCCATCAAATTGAAGCAGAAGAAAGATTATTGAGCCAGTTCGCATCACAATTCTCAATTACACTCACTCACTCTCGTCCGTTCAGTGCGGTGCAGTGCAGGATAAAATGTGACGCAAATGCCTTATCATTAAATATTACCCACACACAATCATTACATTGGAGCAAGTCAGGCAGGAGGATCTAATAAGTGAATCGTAGTAGTGGGTTAAACGATCATACCAAACCATAACCATAATTCATCATCCCGATGGATGTGTGATGGATGGACATTTACACAGACGTACATATAGCGTGCCATGGATTTGCGCGTTGTGAATTAAAGCGACCTTCTTCTCGCCAAAACCTACAGTTTTAACGTTTATGTGCATGACATTCTGAACTCTTTCAGAGGCGGCGCATGGAATTAATCAAGAAGAACAAAACCAAGACCAAGTTGTAAAGGATGGAGTGCGTCCATCTGCAAAATATAATAACTTTTTCATCGTTCTGTCCATTCGCCAGTGTTTTATGTCTTGCCATAAAGCTGCTGCTGGGAGGAAAATGTGTGTAAACACTGCTGAATGTTAGTATTTGTTTAAGGATTGGGCCCGTTTAAGTTTAGACTTATTATTGGGTATCTCCAGTTTAGCAGAGATACAGTCGAGAGTTGATCCTCTTCTTCATTCGCTTCCGCATCCAGTGAGTGGTGTGTTTGCTGTGTGTAACAGTTTCCACGTGGGTGTTGTGCAACTGGCTGGTGCGACGACAAAAAGCGACAACTTTCATTCTCTCCCGTGATAAATAACATGAATGAGGTGATGACTCTAAGCAGATGGGATATTGATATCGTTTTTGGTAGTACAAAAGCTGGATTTTCTGGATTATCCTGATAAAGAAAAAGTGAGCTGAGGTAATCTGGGGTGTCATCGAACAAAAGAAGCGACGACAGATAACTGCTTCTCCTCCGTTCGAGATCCTCATTTGCACCTTTGAGGAAAACCCCATCAGTTCAAACGCGTTTTATACCTGCACACATCCCAACTCGACTCAAATTCCTCTTCCAGCAAGACTAATAAAATATTTAACGCCAGAATACTAATAATGTGGTGATAGCGATATGATGAGCAGACTATTTGAGACGGTGGATTATGTGTCTTCAGTAATGTCATATCGGTAAAAGAGAGGTAGGACCAAGCCTGAGATACATAAACGACATTGCCACCACACCTCGTGCATAAAGTAGTAATAATACAGGAATAATAACAGCCGAGTGTTTCATAACTGTGCCCGTGAGAGACTTGTGTACATATTCAGTTGATGGGATCCATGTGGATGGGAATGGGCCAAGTTCTAAGCAAACGCTATAAAGTCAATTGTGGTTCCAAGTACTTACCGAAGGTTTCAATTACAAACTACGACGACTAGCATAAGGGAGTAGACACGAAAAGTAACGTCCACTAATGCAAAGTGAGGTGCTGAATAATTCGATGAGGGGCGTCATTGTGATGACACATTTGACTTTGGGCATGTTCATGTCCACAAACTCGTTAAATTATTATGAAAATTGAGTATGATAGCACACCTGTCCGGATTCCCATGTATGACACTCCCTGATAAACGATTCTTCTTATTACTTGAGTCGCAGCAAGTGATACTCAAGTTATTTACGATTTTTTGACCAAACCCAAAACAAAACGCCAGCAAGGCGCTACATTTAACGGAAAAGTTCCGAAATCCGAGGGACAAGCAAGATGTTTTATAACAATGTATGACAAAAGTTATTAGCTGGTGTTGATTCAGTTAGTTGAGGATACAGAAGAAAAACAGAGATTAACATGGGTCACAATGACGAAGAATTGACGGTAGGAGAGTCAACCCCAATGACTTCGCCGAGCACCCCGAGCACGCACAACTCCTCTCCAGTGGAGCAACCCAATCTTTCAATTAGCAGCAACTGCAGTTCCAACCCAAACAGTGGAACCAGCAGTAAATTATCCTCCCCCACTCAGGAAGTGATGTCGGCAGTGGAGGAGGAGGGTCCAATGAACGTGACCACCGGTCGAGATGACCCAGATGCTGACTCACAAAGTTCGACAAGCCCCAACAACTCGAGCTCGATATTTAACACCAGCACGGATGTCGACGTTTCGGAAGAGGAGGTTGAGAGTGACAAACTAATGCCGGCGAATGTTACTGCCAGTGAAAGTAGTCAGTTGTCGGAGTCCAAGTCAACAACGGGGTATGTTTGCAATAGTCCTGTTAAAGAGGATGCAGCGGCCATTCTGAAGGAAAATCAGAACATCAAAATCCGTCTTGGCGATGATGAGGCTGTCACACTGACAAAATCAGCCGAACCGCTTCTCAAGGGAAATTGCACCGTCGTCGGAAATGTCACTCGTGATGGAGGGATTAATGTCGCCACGACTGCGGACGACATTGAGGGGACCGTTTCCTCCAGCTGCAGTAGCCGAGGGCGAGACTCGAAAAAGAAGAGCTTTGGCTTTCAAAGATTCACAAAACTTAATCTCCGCGTCTTTTCACGCTCCTCCAGGTCAACGGAACGTTTGGATGTGGAGGAGGCTGCCCAAGCTATGCTAATGAACAACCAACTACAAAGTCCACCTGCTCCATCCGTAAGCAAGTCGAGCTCAGAGTCCAACATTCCCATGTGTCACAACTCCCTTGACAATCTGGCCAACGATCTCCCAGCATCCCGGTCCACCGACTCGAGCTGCCTCCTTCCATGCCCCGGTGACATGTTGGGAGGCGAACCCGCGGTGGCGTCCACTTCCGCCAGTGGTCAGAGTACCAGCGGAACCAGGGTACAAAGTAGCAGTGAGTGCGTAGCAGGAGCCTCCTCCTCCAGCAGTGACGGCAGCAGTTGTGGGGTCACGTCGTCGTCGTCCTCTTCTTCTTCTTCTGGGTGTTCCGCAGGACCAAAGTTCAAGCTGGTAACGGAAGGAGACGTCCAAGTGTGCAAAGTGAAGCATGGGAATAACCTCATGGACAAGTTCATCGGATCAAAGCTGCTCCGGAGATGGGAAACTCACCACATTTACTTGAACGATTCTTGCATTTCCTCCAAAACGGTGAGTATTTACGATTCGTATCTATGTGGGTTTTGTGTTTAATAAAACTTGATGAACACGTCCCTCGTCCACACCCCTCACAACAGTTGTTGGCGAGTATATTTAATTCGGTGGTCTTCTCCCCATGTACTTTTAGCCAGTTCTCACAACTTTCTTTCACGCTTCTTTAATTTCATGAGACAAACTCCATGTGCTCGTTTCGTGTCGTCCTCTTCCACCCAGAATTCAGTTGGTGGTGGGATGTGTGATCCTATCATAAACTTGCAATAAACCTTGTAAACCTCCGCTGGGCAATATTATCAAGGCCAACCAGTTATGGAGAGAGGGTGTTAAACTAAAGCAGGAATTTGCTGAACAACTCGGCTCTCAAGCTGCGATGACAACATTGGTCAGCGATAGCCAGCTTCCATGCAACATCAATTTCGAATTCCAGAGTGATGGCCAATCATAAAAATGGATTCGGTTAATATAGCGTCGGAAATGCGTGGTTTGTGTCAAGCCATTTCATTTTCGGCAAACTGACTCCTATTTTTCGAATTGAGAATTCCAACGAGTCTCTTGAGACTTTTCTTCACTCGGTTGTTATTATTCAGCGCTCACATGATAACTCTCTGGTATGCCAAATCACCCAAAATACTTGTACCCTTGCCATAAAGATGCTTCCCATGCATAATAAGAATGTGAGTCATAATCAGACAAATTGTATTGCATAAAAGTCTATGACGCGTTGACCGTCGCGAATCCCAAAGGTTCCCACAGTGGTTAATAAGACAGACTAAATATACACACATAGCAAATTCACCTTGTAAGAATATCCATTTTGTAAAAGTATACGGTCAAAATTATGCACTAAACATTTGGGATTTGCCAGACTGAATAAACTCGCCTTTCTTTTAGACTTCATGACCAAACCGATTTCCTGACTTTTTCCTCGCGTCGAAATACGTAGCATGGAACAGTGCAAGTGGTTGTTCTCTCTCTCGTAGAATGAATTTACGAACGTCTGTATGTGCAGTGGAAGGCTGGCGTTAAGTATAACACGCAATAAAATCAAAGTTACTCGCTCTTCCTCTCTCTCTCTTTCACACATTCTGCAAATCTTTATTCCTGACCTGGTTTCCTAAAATAGGATAAGTGAACTGCATCCAACAACTCTGCTGAATTTCAAAACACGAGGTCATTGGCGTCGAATAAGGACGAACGTGTATGCACAACAACGCTAAGGCTGAGGAGTGGGTGGTGCGGCGCGATCACACGCTTTTATCTCTCGTAACACATTTTTGTCATTCTCGTCATCCAGCAGCAGCATACCCCGAGGGTGTTCAATAGACCATCCTGTGTCCACCCGTACATATTGGTTTGGTGGTCTCTCTTTGCGCCTACGTTTGGAGGAAAGCTGGTCCGCTGAAAGCTTTGCTTTGGCGTTTTTGCACGAGTTGGTCCCACTTAATTCTTACCATTAAAAGAGAAGCAATAGATTAAGTTGGCAGTTGGCAGAGTACTGGCGTGGAACCAACTATTACACACAACCAGCCACGGATGAATTCTCTGCACGAACATGTCGATTTTAGCCATAGCTCACAACCCACCGCTCGCTCCTGCCCTATTCCATGACCACAGCCAAAAAATCTTGGCCACCCAATGCAAAAACATTGTGGATTTCACAGTTGACTGAGTTGGAAGAAGAATAAATTGCAGAAAATGTATGGTGCTATCGATTTCGGTAATTGGATCATTGAAACATTCTTCTGCGTGGATCCAGAGGCTGACCACAATAAATGATGTTTCATTGGTAGGCAAATTTCCGGACGCTTTCTCCCTCCACAACCGGTGACGGTAAAAACACAATTACCTGGACATATTACGCAATAAATTTAAACGGTTACCTACTCAAACAGTGTTGTATAAAGAGCACGTGCATACGAAACGTGTGCGAAACTATTGCTTATACAGATATGTGCACAACCTTGGCTAAATAATTGGTTATAACATCTGCACAATGTCCACATGACAGGATTATTTTTTATACTTTATATTACATAATAATTCTAATTTGTGCGTATCATGTCTCCCCTGAAACTCTGATCTCAATGGAGCAAAATTATTAAATTAGTCTGCATTAAAGCGAAAATTAAAAAGCAGCCCAAACACCGAGGTCATTGTGTGAAACTTCTCTATTTAATGGAGCAGCGATATCTACAACTTTCCAAGCAAACTTTCACTTCTTTTGATGTCTAGAAAATTCTCGCAAAAGAAAATCACGTTAAAATTCACCAAACAAAATCCGTCCCTTTCACGTAAAGGACGATGAATGGGGAAAAATTCAAAGTGATACCAGAGCAGCAGTAAAAAAACCATGAAAGAAATGCGAGTGTAGTTTGGACGACCTCGACGGAAAGCAACCAAGCCAGGACGACACGCTGCTCCAAGTCGTACTTGCTTTTACTTACGTGCATTAGTATCGTCGTGGTAAGAGGGAAAGCAGAAAAACGACGACTGTGAGAGTCGAAAAGCACTACGTACATCGGAAAGGCGTGCGACGACGGTGGACTTTTGACTTGAGGGAGAAATTAAATTTGGATAGTTCAAATTCGACTGGATGAAACCTTGTTGAAACTTTTGCAAATGGAATATAAATTTATAAATCAAGTTAACCTAACCACATCCCACACACTCGGCAAACATTTTACAGTTCCAATTTCTAACTTTACGGCCTTCTGCACTTGAGGCTTTGTTATGTGCAAAAGCAAAAGTTATTGCTTTGTGTCACGTCGTGTCGGTCGGTTGTTTGTGGAACCATGCTAAGAAACATTCAAGAAGTGTGTTCCTCCCTCCGCTTCTACTCCCCATTCAATTATTTCCTCAATATTTTCATTTCCTCAAACTTCGACTCCCCTTCTAATTCAATCACATAGTTGAATTAAAACTTTGCTCCTCGCCGGCTGCTTCAAACGCCGAGTCGTTGTTGCAGGCACAAAATATCCTTTCATCCTCTGCTGTTCGGCGTTGTTGTGGGTATCCCTTGTATTTGGTATGCTTTCCCATCAAAGGGAAAGTTGTATGTTTGTATGCATATACATACACTTATCTAATACATACGCGTGTGCATGTGCCTCAAGAATTCTCACTCCACAACAACGGTTGCATCCAGTTGTCATCAACATGCATTCATCTCACCAACCACTTATTGTGCATGGATATGCACTTGCTTACGTTCCGCTACGACTATTCAAGTGTGATCAAATGCAGGGTGAAATCTGGAAAGTTTCTGATTTTGATTTTGACATGATTTAAATCAGATGCGCTGAACATGACAATATGATTCAATCCAAGTAGTTGAATGCTTATTGTCAGCTTGCTTGATGTGAGGTCAACTTCAAAGCTAAATTGCATTTGGAATTTCCAAATTCAAATGCACAATGAAATCTCTCGTCAAAAACGGCGTTATGGGAGCGTATGTATCATAAAAGTCATCATCAAAGCTCAGACACGAGCATAACAAATCAAACATAACAAAACTCGCGGATTATTGGCCAATTTTTCCATTATGTAAAAGTGGAATTTGTTTTGCCGGAATTTCATTGATTTGCTGCAACGAGGAGCTCATCGAGGAGCAACTTAATGTACCAAAAGAATGACTTAAGACATTTGAATAATTTTTGTGGGTCATTTATTTTATTTTCTGGTGCTGCTCTGGATCGCTGTGTGTGTGTGGACTGTGTGGAGCATCGAAATGTATACAGATCAGAATTTGTGGTGGTGGTGTGACTGAATTAGAATTCATTTGAAAGGGTTCATGGAAGGCCATGCAATACTTGTCGACGCTGAAGCCCAGTACAAAGTACTTAAATTCAGGTAGGACCACCACCACCGCAGAATTTTAGCACATACTGAATCAAAATCAAAACATGGACTACCACGAGTCGTCGTCGTCGTAGGCGACATCGTAATTTTGGCATCAACCGAACGTAAAGCTGGATTCAATCTCAAAAATATTTACTTAATCAATTCCACTATTCAAATTAGAACCTCCTCGATGTTTCGAAAGCACGCTAGGCTACGTCAAATGTAACTTGATAATGCTGCCTCTGGAACGAACAGCGTACATACGTCGCATACATTTATCCGTACGTGCATGCACAGCAGTTCACTTGGTGCAAAGGTGTCGCAGACTCTACATACATTTTAGACGGAAAGAATTACAATTTTTTATTTTATTTCGATGTGACGAGACTTGTTCATGATGGACATAAAAATAAATATAAGATCAATATTTAAACTTGGTGTCCATTTTTACCAAACGGATATGCATACGGGACGAACCAGAACATGAAACTGGAAGCAAATGAATACATAATTCTCGTCTTGTTCAATCCTATTACTTGTCATGTTGTCGAGATGTTGCTAGTTTCATCTTCTTGAGGGTTGGATGTCATCGGTCAATCTTAATGAGAGTGAAGAGGAATTAATTACTAATTTGATATAGCAAAATATAATCTGAATGACAGACCCGACTTTCCTGACTACAAATGCACACAGGATCCGAGCAATTTGGTCCCTAATGTATTTATGCATGGTACGGAACTGGTGAGATTGACAGCCCGAACCATCCGAATAGAATGAATACGGAACCACCATGATCAACTTTCTTTCTACGGGATGCATACGCCGTGGGGAAAGGAATACGAAATGCGAATGCGAAAGTGAAAGTCGGTGGAAGGAGAGCAGGAATACATTGGGATTAGGAAAGCGGAAAAACCGTGAGTGTACCAACAATCTCCTCATCCCTTCACTTGTTACATATGACATTGAGGAGGAGTTGAATACACAACATTTGATGTGAAATTAGGTATTGCCCAATTTTCTCCATTGTAAACATCTCCTTTCACTCGAGGTTCGAAGTTCAACTTCTAAATTCAAAGATGCGATTCATGTGCAAAATAGTGTGATTTCTCGAGACAGCTGGGCTTTCTCCTTGCCCCACGATTTGCATAAACGTG